GCAGGATCTGTTGTAGAACTAGGCGTGTTGGGTGCTCCCCCACTTTCATTATTGTTCATAATAACACTATTTTTAATACCAGATTTGTCTGGCTCTTCAGCAGAATCTGTTGCAGGACCAGGCGTGTTGGGTGCTCCCTCACTTTCATTATTCTCCATTATAACACTATTTTTAATACCAGATTTGTCTGGCTCTTCAGCAGGATCTGTTGTAGGACCAGGCGTGTTGGGTGCTCCCTCACTTTCATTATTCTCCATAACACTATTTTTATCGCCAGATTTGTCTGGCTCTTCAGCAGAATCTGTTGTAGGACCAGGCGTGTTGGATGCTACCCCACTTTCATTATTCTCCATATTATCACTTTTTTTATCACCAGATAGGTCTGCTTCTTGAGCAGGATCTGTTGTTGGACCAGGAGTGTTGGGTGCTCCCTCACTTTCATTATTCTCCATAACACTATTTTTATCGCCATATTTGTCTGGCTCTTCAGCAGGATCTGTTGCAGGACTAGGCGTGTTGGGTGCTACCTCACTTTCATTATTCTCCATATTATCACTTTTTTTATCACCAGATAGGTCTGCTTCTTGAGCAGGATCTGTTGTAGAACTAGGCGTGTTGGGTGCTCCCTCACTTTCATTATTTTTCATAATAACACTATTTTTATCACCAGATTTGTCTGGCTCTTCAGCAGAATCTGTTGCAGGACCAGGCGTGTTGGATGCTTCTTCAATTCCATTATTTACCATATTATCACCGGGTTTGTCTGACTCTTGAGCAGAATCTGTTGTTGCAGGACCAGGCATACTGGATGCTTCCTCACTTTCATTATTCTCCATATTATCACCATTTTTATCAGAAGATAGCTCTGGCTCTTGAGCATGATCTGTTACAGGACCAGGCGTGTTGGGTCCTCCTCTCTCACTCCCATTATTCTCCATATTATCGCCAGATTTATCACCAGTTTTGTCTGGCTCTTGAGCAGGGTCTGTTGTTGCATTTTCTTTGACGTTAATTTGTGATGGAGTTGTTTTCCCGCCAGCATGCCTGATTTTCACTTGACATTCAGGTAATCCCTGATCTAGGAATTTTTGCTTGGTGGCATCTAGTTCATTTTCTAGTTGTTTAATGATGTTTTCAGCGTGACATAGTTTGCTTTGCAGTTCGTCTTTCTCTGTTTTTGGTGCAATCTCCTCCTCTAATATTTTTGATTTGAGGTCTTCATTTTCCAGTTTGGCCTGTTCAAGTTTATGTTCCAGTTTTTTGATTAACATGTCCCTTTGCATCGAGCTCTTTCTAAGAACTTCACACTTTCTTTCAACTTTTTTATTTCCTGCTTTTTAATCTCAATATTTCTCAACACATCACACAGTTCGTTTTTCTTCTTGTCAAGTTCAATTTCTTGAGATTTGATTTTTGCACAAAGCTTCTTGTTCAATGCCTCCTTCTTCTCATGCAAATCTTTTATGTCCCCCTCACTTTCTTCCTACTTTAAGAGTCTGTACTTCAATCTCTTTTCGAGCAGATTCTAGCTCTTCTTGAAGTGAAGTATTCTGATTTCGGTTTCATGCAGTTTGTCCCTGAGTACACCCTGTTCCCA